TTGTTTTAAAAGAACCTCGGGAGTGGGGTAGGGGGGTAAAATTTACTTTTCCTTCCAGTTCATAAGCATGTCCTTTATATCTTTTTGGCTTGTTTGCATAGAAATAGTGCCTTTTGGCACTGATTCAGGGTGGGAGAAAAAGAGTAGAAATGTCCACCAACTTTTAACAAATAACTGCAATTGTTTTTGATCACGCATGACTGAATAAAAATAGACCTCAGTGATTGTTATAGATATTAAGAATGTAACCCTAATTATGTCCCATGTATGGTGGTGATATCCACACAGTAAATTTCAAGAGAACAAGAAAAACTGCATTCAAACTTTTGGTCACCGTCCCTGAAGTTGGCAATCAGCATGACCTCTTCAACAGAACAGCTTCTTTATTCTCTTTCCCACTTCCTTTCCCTTCCAGCTACATCCATACCAGACTTTTGATTTTTTTTTCTTCACAATTATATATACGCACATTCATATTGAAAGGCATACAGGAAACAAACTAAAAGGCTGCAGGAAATGAACTAACTCTGCAGTAGGGTAATATTTGTAGTAACAAGTACTATCCTGCTGTGGAGTTTTTTACTTTGCAGCCGAGCACGTGTAGATGTTGACATGGCTGGCTGGGGCCTGCTGGCTAGCTCCACACTACTTCTTCTGCCCCAGGCCAGCCCCTCCGGAGCATGGTGAGCTAGGTTGGAGCAGCCCTGAGCTGGCAGGCTGACTCCCTGGGCTCCCTGCCAGCCAGGGCTGCTCCAACCCTCAATTTGCTGCAGTCCTGGGTGCATGTGTAAATGCCTGGTGGCAATAAACTCCGATGCAATAAGCATCAGAGTTTATTGCTTTGACTTAAAAGCACTTGTAGATGTGCCCACATCTTAAATAAGGTTACATTTTTGTCAATATTATTTCATGCTGTGAAATATGTATATCACAACTGACTTCAATAGGAAAAGAAACAATTTCACTATTACCTGTAAAGAGATACAAAATTTAATACATGAACAAAGCAAATTATGTAAACTACAATCTTGTGAAAGGTAGTGTGCTGCTACTTTGTATATCTTCCCTTCACTTCCCCATGTCTTGGTTCCATTCTAGTCAAGATGGTCAACACGCACTTTTGCAGGGAAACATAGTTTCACTTTTCTCCTTCATCTACTTACTGTACCACAATTTTCCCAAGCATCCTATACAAGACAAATCAATGCAGGTGGCTGTATTGTTTCCTATAAAAAAAAAATCCACATCTGCTTATGTTGCCATGTCACATTAAGTTATATGAGAAAACATATGGTGACACAGTTGATGATTCCAGCTATAACACAGTAGGGATGTGACACTGGGGAATTTTGAAGATTTGTTGGCACAAAATACTGTTAAGAAACTGCTGCTCAGAATAATAATAAAGGGAAGCGGAAGGATATAACTTTAGTTTGATTATTAACTAACTGTTCAAAACAAGGGCAATACTGTTCTGATAAGCTTGGGAATCTTAAAAGTAACTCTTTAACCCAGGATATAATACTATTGTAATGATCCACTGTCCCTTCAATAACAAAGTATGTTTTAACTTGTCTGCATTTGAAACCATGTGAAAAAGGACTGCATTTCACACAAGCATTCCAACTTAATTTTTGTAGTAGCGTATAATTCCAAGCAAATGTTGTCTTCCCCATCACTGTGAATTAATCTAAAAAATCCCTTACTAATAATTGTGGACCTGATTCAACAACTGATTCACTGTGGATAAAGAGGTATGGAATGGGCACTCAGTACTTAGCTTGCTCCTTTCAAAGGCAGTGTACATCACTGCCATTAAACTCTGCCTAAGGGCTTCAATCCTAGAGGAAGGAAAATTGATGCCATTGAACTATTATTTCAACCTGCATCCCCTTAAAACATATTTATAGGAAGTGATTAAAATTTATGTCATCTAGCTTACAATAACCCCTCACATTACAAATACGCTCTTTATTGAAAATTAGATGAAAAGATCTGTGTCATAAAGGTTAATATTGATTAAATGAAGCAGAATGTGATTCAGAACCAATATGGTCTGACCCTGAGACACGCAGCATAGTAATGAAGTGTTGCTTTCTTTGATGCATTAAGGGCACGTCTACTTGTGCATGTAAACATGACTAAATTAAATGTGCATTAAGCTAATGCACATTAAGCAATTTTTGGTAAGTGTCTACATGTTCAGGGAACTGGCACTAAAGTTAGTGTACTTGGCACTGAAGTTAGTGTCTAGACCCTGCAGCCCTGCTGTGTGCCTCTAGTGGCCGGGCAGACGCGGCAATAAAGTTAGTGTTGGGTCATGTCTATATATGCATTAGTGCACTTTAAGTAACCGTGCCTAAATTTGATGCCTGCATTTGCAGGCATCAAATTTAGTTGTGATTATCCTAATTTCACTATTTTTTATGTTCATTAAATTAGGCTAATGTGCATTAATGCATCTCATGTAAATGTGTCCTAAAACACTCAACTTATCAATGAAGCCCCTAGAAATAAACATTTATTTTCCCTCCCAACAGCATATTCCCTTGAATACAGGGTATTTTCTTCAAAGGAAAAGCAAAAAAAGTAACGTATGGAACCATATGATTACGGTGGGGATTTCAACACGTCCTCATTTTTCCTAATGTTTATCTCTGTGCAAGGAAATTGGGAAAGTGGGGAGAACTGTTCCAATTCTACTGAGATGGACAATGACTTGGGAGCACAGGAAATTAGGGCTGGAAGGCACCTTGCAAGGTCACCTAGTACAGCTTCCTGCAGAATCATCCCTGACTAAACCACCCTAGCCAAATGTCTGTCTAACATGCTTCTGAAACTTTCCAAGCATACAGATTCCACAACTTCTCTAGGAAGTCGGTTCCAATTCCTGACCACTACCACAATCAGAAAGTTACTCCTAATCTCTATTCCCCTGCTGAAGCTTGAGACCACTGCTCCTACTCCTGGCCATAGAAAAAAGCCCATCTCCATCCTCTCTCACCCTTCAGGTATTTGAAGACTGTTATCAAATCCCACCTCAGTCTTCTCTTTGCCAGGCTAAATGACCCTCGTTCTTTCAGCCTTTCCTCATAAATCTCACCTCCCAGGTTCCTAATCATTTTTGTCACCCTGCGCTGGACTCTTTCCAAACTGTCCATGTCATTCTTAAAGTCTGGGACCTAAAACTGGACACAGTGCTCCAATTGTGGCTTCACCAGTGCTAAATAGAGAGGGAAAAACACTTCCTTTGATTTGCAAGTGACACTCCTATTAATACAACCCAGAATGCTGTTGGGTTTTTTTCAACAAGATTATACTGTTGGCTCATGTTCAATTTATGGTTTACGGTAACCTCCAGATTATAAAAGGGCAAAATTTTTATGGCAATTAAATATTAAAGAAAACTGACAGAAGCCAGAATGGATCAGTTGTGGCTTGAGATTCCAAATACAAATAAAGTTTGTCTAAATATGCAGTCATAGCACATAAATGAGACTATTCACTTATGCAAGAGAAAGTATGTCAAGTTTAAAATTCTGGATGATAGAGTCCTCTCTTGGGGCTAAGGGCTAATTTCCTCCAACACAGAGAGGCAATATGTGTAGCAGCACTCAAGCAATATGAAAGCCATCTTGCTGGGTGCATTTGGTGCATTCCCAGAGTACTCAAGCAGTTAACCAGGTTTTCCTTACATTTGCAACATTTCCCAAAAGCTTTCTAATCATTTCACAATTATGCAGAGGAATATGGCAAAGCAGGTTGCAGATATTGCTACCAATACACAAAAACAAACCAGGGCAAATGTAAGGAACAAAAAGTTGAAACAGTATTCCAGTGTGAGATGTAGAAGAACAAACAACCAACCTTTTTGTTTAAAAGAGTGTTAAATGTGTCTACACTCTTAAAAAAGGTTGTTGTCATCATTCAGGAAAGTATTTTAGCATGCACTCTAGTTCATGCTCACTCAGAAAGACATGTAAGTACTAACCACCTTAAATACTTTCTCAAATAAAAACACTTCTGAATTAGGCTGGGGGCTATTCATTTATATAAACTGCTAAACTGTTTTCCTTTTACACACTTCAAATTGAAAAGTGAAGATTTTACATGAGAAGCAAACCTCACCAGAGGTTTTTAAGAAACTAGTTAGATCCCAAATAGTGCCATCAAAAGTACATAGGCACACTACTGAATACAACAGAACCACATTCATGTACCTCATGATATAATCAAAGCCTTACTTGGTACAGCAACTTTCAAACATAAGTATGGTAAGAGACTCTTACATTACAAAAAAAACCCCACATATAAAAAGTTGGGCTGCACTTAAGTCAAGATTCATGATTTGAACATTTTTTATCCATACACAGTCAGGCATAAAATTATCCAAACTTACAAAGAAAGACTTTTGGCAGAGTAAACGTGTACCACAGAAATAGCACTCTTATTGAGAGTCATGTTTAATAATCATGTTCTGTTGTTTTACTAAGTATATAGATAGTATTAATGCACAAAGATAAAAATTCTAATTTTTAATTAGTTTACTCACAATACTCATTAGTTTTTGGAAAATCTGCATCTCTTATTATAGTGCTAGAGTATAAAGATGATTTGCTTGATCTCAGGTAATTACAAACAATAACTTAAGTTGTTAATAAGTGAATAAACACCTTTTTAATACCAAAAAAAGAAATCACAATCTACTAATAGGTATCCCTCATGTGTCTGTGGCTACTCCAACTCTGGAGAATATATTGGAGCTGTTGGTAAAACAGGCAATTAATAGGATATTGGTATGCTGACAGGTAGCTGCAATTATCTTTTTCTATTACAGAAGGCATTTGAGAATCATTTACAAGCAAAAGATGAACAATGTTCTACTAAATCCTATTAAATCAATGCATGGACACAACAGTAGCACAGGCAAATAAACAGACAGAAGTCTGAAAACCAATAAAAGATGATAAAAAAAAATACTGTTTAATACAGCTACTTACATCATGGCCTATAAGTTCAGTCTGTGTGGATTTATCTGCTTGGGAAATAAGAACCTTCTGTAAATGTTGAGCTTTTTCCTGCAAAAGAAAACAACATATTGTAGGTGAGTCATGTTCTCCCTCTCTGGGATTTTCAACTATCAACAGCCACATAATAAGTGCAAAACTCATGCACTGGCAGCTGTTTTGAAATGGAGTATCTTGGTATTATTCTCACTGGGAGATTTGTTTCCCTGCTACTGTTATCTTATGTATCAACTGAACCATTTATTAAGTGGACAGTGAGCACATAAATCGTGAGTATGCATGATTTACAAGGTTGATGAGAATATTACTGTAGTGTGATGCACAGGGCCCTTCTTCAGGATCAGATTTAGGCCTTCATGGACAAAACATATTTGCAGATACCATAAACTTATCTGCAGGAAAAGGAGCTAGCAGCATTTTACACAGCAAAACCAACTTCTGGACAATAAGAAATTAAATATATGAACTAACGGTGGCCACAAGATTTTACACAATTTTTTTCCATCCAAATATACTGTTTTATCAAAGCCAAAACATTTATTGGAAACATATCAGTATATCAATCAAAATGTTCTGACAGAAAAAGTTCCTGAGATCCAGCATAAACAATTTAGTTAACAAGAGAGAAAGAGAATCAAAGAAAACCCCCAATTGCTTTGACACAGTTATAATCTGAGCAAATGTTTGAAAGGTTTTTTTGTTGGTTTTTGTTGGGGGGTTTGGCCAAATGATTAATAAAATACATTTGAAAAATCTTGAATCTTGTCACTAAATGGGATTGTTGATCTTCAGCCAACTGTAATATAGACTACAAATGTCTTGTCCCCCCTGCTCC